GTATAAACACCATAATCTAAAGTATTTTCTATATCTTCTATATCTATAGTCTATAGATATAGGTGGATAAATATTTTTCTGAAGAAGTCTTAGTAAGACCCCATCGCTAATATTAAATTGTCTAACATTATAATATTAATTAAATTATAATATTAATTAATAAATATATATAATAAATAATTTATTTATATAAATAAAATAAGACGAATAAACGAATTCTTTTTGATTCTGCATCTTCACGTGACTTAATAGGAGAGAAAGATTCAGCTTCTAAGGAATGATTTAAACTATTTCTCTTTCGAAATTTCGAATCAATTTCTAAAGTTCCCCTCTCGACATCATTATTCCAAGAAAATTTGATAGTTAAAAATAACTTTTGATCATCTTAGGAAAAAAGATAAGTCTTTTTTTTTTTCATCTGATTGATAAAATCCAAAGAATGGGGAGGGTTTCGTATCTATCAATTCGATCAAATAGACTGAGCAATTGTCACTGTTTATAGATATTGAAATGAACGCCTTCCCATCACTGATTAACTCCTATCTACCCCATTCTATGGGACTGATGCAGCATAAATCAAAAGAAGGGGATGTCCTAGTCTTTTTTATTTTTACGAAATGCGAGCTGTCTGGGCACAAAGCCAAACAAGCCCAGATTAAGTCCAGTTTTTGCCCCTTTTTTTCTATTTTAGCCTACCTCATTGATTAAGAATTAAGAGACTTAGTGAATTGAATTAGTACCAAAAACCCCCTCTTGGCGAAAAGTCAAGAAATCTACAAAAAAGAAAATTGAATCTAATTAGGCTAATTTAGGGGGTAGAGAATATGAGATAGGGAATATGGATTCTTTCGTATCTCGATTCAGTTTTTGAAAAAAAAAAACGATTCATCGAAGAAAAAAATCAGAAACAACAATCACATTCCAGCTAACATTTCGATTTTAAACAGAACATTGTTAAAAAAGCAATCTATATTGTCAGAGAATATATATGTTCTGGGACGGAAGGATTCGAACCTCCGAATAGCGGGACCAAAACCCGTTGCCTTACCACTTGGCCACGCCCCATTTAGATTTCTATGCGATACTAATAAAGTATATTGCTGGTTTTGTTTGTTTGTCAACTCTAGCCCAAATATCTATAGAATCGATTAGATTGGTATTCGGATTTTTCTATGTTTTTGGTATGTGTAGATATAGAATTCAACTTAATTTATTGATCATTACATATAATTCAATTAAGATATTGTATGAAAATATTATTTTTTCGATTCTCCTTTGAGAAAAGGAGGATTTTTGATTGGGTGGGTTCAAAGAAAAAGAAGTATTTTTTGTTTACCTTCCTTACTTTCCTTTTCCTTATATAAATAACTCAATCAAAATGCAATTATCTCCAAGAACAAAAAGTCTGTTATGCTTAATACCTTTAGTTTGATCGGTATCTGTCTTAATTCGACCCTTTATTCGAGTAGTTTTTTCTTCGGCAAATTGCCCGAGGCCTATGCTTTTTTGAATCCAATCGTAGAT